TACTTTCATAGCTACACTCTTGCAAATAAGAAAATAGAATTCCTTTTTTTTTTTCTAGAATTACATATAGATGCACATGGTCTTTGAGAGTTTTCCACTGGAGAACGGACAAGGCCTGGAAAAATCAAAGGCAGGGAAGACCTCAACAGAGTACTCATTTGGTGTCAGCCCTTATGGTCTGACCCTTTGCCTCCCTTGCCTACACCTTCCCTACACCTTTCTGCAGTTTTGCTTGATGTCTGTAGCCCAGCCCTTCCACAACTGAGAGGAGATGGCTTTTGCAGTGCATTGGTGCTCTGCAGTCCAGAATTGGAGTAACACTCTGAGACATGACATTTCTTCATGCCAAACTATTTTTCTTGGTGCCAACCCAGATGAGCTCTGTCCTGAAAGCCTAAGCAGCTGGGAGGTATTATAAAAGAGAGAAAGAGTACTAATGACATCACTTCCAATCAAGGTGAAAGTTATTTAGACTGTCCTTGATCATTCAAAGTTTATCTCATTAAATATCAGACAAACCTGCCTGTTGTGGTCATATTGCTGTATTGTGGGACCTCAGAAAACTGGTTAGTATATTAGAGTAGTATAGGTAGTATTTACCTAGGTGTGGTCCAACGTAAAGCTCCATCTGTACCTTTCTCACTGTTATCTCAGCCCCATGGCTTGCTAGGGGATGCATTTACTATACCTAATTTTAAGGTTTTCTGTTTGATCTTTCTTCTTCACCACAGAAGAGTGAAAAATACCAATATCATGCTTAACCTTTTTATTTCTCTTTAAGCCTTGTGGTTCTTATGGTTCACATGGAGTCATCTCTTTATACCCTGGTAAAGGGCAGTGTCATTCATGTAGAGGAAGTTAGGCTGAATTTTGGTAGCTGAAATCTGCTACCAAAGCAGTTGCTTCTGCTTCCGCCTTTGCTTGACACAAGTAAAACCCAACTACTTGGAGACTGACCCTGTGCACTGCAGAGGGCTGTTTCCCAGCATTAATATCCTCTGTGCCCCTCTTCCCCTGGCAATTACTGACCTTCTCATTTTTCCTAGAGGCAGTCTCTGATGTTAAGAAGGCAGTGGTTTGTTTTAAATTTCAGATTTACTGAATTTCAGAGAACATGCACTGCTGGAGTTTACTTTTCATGTATTGCTCTCTGTAGGGCTGGATAGATTCTGTAATGCTAAAGTAACGGAGAGTTAAGTCTTTCTTTGGTGTATTTTGAAACCCCTCATTTCAGAGTGCTGAAGGCAATGACTAAGGTGCCTGTTACTTAAATCCATGTTGTGCTGCAGAAATATATGACTCTGATCCCTATACATGAATCTATTTGTAAAGTCTTATTTCAGCTTCATGAATAAAGTCCTTTCTTTACCTCAGATTGATGGTGAAAATACGGTAAAAGACATTTATCTGATATTGTGGAGAGCGAGTATGACATGGGGCAGAATAAAAATCAGAATTTCTGGATATTCTGTCTACCTATGTGAACTAGAGAGAAAGTATAGCCTGCTGGTGTCTGTGCTTTCCTCTCTGTAAAACAGGGATATGGATATATTCCTATCTTATGGGAGAGCTGCGAGTCCCAAGTTAATTACAAAGTCTGTGACAAATCTTAGAAATTCCATTGTGAGATAGTGTGTAAGCATATAATATTAATGTTTTATAATCTCCCTAAACTGTCTCTGTGGATATATTTAGTGAGAGGGATTTAGTGATATCAAAAGAAATTTTTTTCCACCCCAACCATTTTCTTTAGAACCCAAAGTGAAAGCTGTTTCCACCAACTGCCATCTCTGCAACCATCTGGAAAATCACATTTTCTGAAGCTTTCCTTCTTTTTATCAGCTGTAACTAAAGCTATAAAATGGGAAGATGTCCCTGGTTTAATTAACACCCCTGTAGTTCAAAAGCTGATCTTAGTAATGAGAGGCAATTATAGCCTTTATTGAGGGACAGTCAGGTGGAACAAACCCAGCATCAATCTATTGAAGACACTTCCCTTTCCAGGTAATTTGGAAACTGCTTTTTATGATGAACAGACTACCTGGCCCAGTACAACAGGTGAATCTCTTTGTTTTGTAACCTGAAAAGAACTTCCTATTTTGATTTATGTGCTTCTTTTGTAAACTGGTTTTTGCATCCCATCCGTCTGCCAACAACTAGCAACTGAGCTAAGGAAATACCTGTTGCTTTTTGGAGGGTGTTCTTGCTGTTTTTTTTTTTTTATTTATTTATTTTCCTGTCCACTGTTGCTTTTCACTTTGAAGGTTGCCTGTTGTTCATATTTTTGTTCTAGCAAAACTGCAGACTCTGTGGTGTGCCCACATCCTGAGGGCTATGAAGAGTTCTGGTCTCTGCACCTCAAAAATGATGTGGTAGAGCTAGAGAAGGTCCAGAGAAGGACATTGAAATGATCAAGGGAATGTGTTTTCTGCTATATGACCTAAAAAGGCTGTGGTTCCAGTTCAGACAGGAGACAGCTGAGGGCAGAGGTAAAGCTGAGTTTAACTGAAGTCATGCAGGTGATGGATAAGGTAGATGTAGAACTTTAATACTAGAGCTAATGGGCCCTAGTGTCACGAATATGATTTTTTTACACGGCTTTGATTTAGCAGCAATTTAAGATTTATTAATGTTTTTGAGATAGATCACAGTATTAGGTTGTATAATTCTTAACAGCACTTAAGCATCAGCCAATTTAAAACAGCAATTTGATGGAGTCTGTTACAATCAAGATAGTGACTTAGTTAAAGATTCAAGAATGGCAAGGTTCACTCACTTACATGGAAGAAGTGCACAAAGGAAAATTAGAATGATTCAGAGAGATCATGGATACAGGGAATAAGGAGGACCCTCCTGCTGAGGTTCAGAATAGACCCCCTTGCTTTCTAAACTCCTTTCAGAGAGGAGTCTAAGTGCAGCTAGGTCTATTCTTAGTCTCAGACTTGGTCAACGGTTTATGTGAATAAAGGTAATATATATGTATATATAGTCAAATAGCACACACACACACACACACACACACGAGGTTAATCTGTGATTAAAATTTCCCTTTTCATGAGTTTCATGAATTACTCACTTTTATGTGCTGGCACTGCACTTATGACCAAGATAACAGCACAGTAGGGCTTATCCTGAGATCTGAGTGGCCCGGGGTGGGGGCTGCACCACCACACCTAGCTGAAACAAGGCGATCTGCTTGAAATTATGAAGTACTTTTTTACACAGCAGATAGTGAACTTCTGGAATCTGTTGCCACAGGAGGTTGGGGTGGTGGGCAGTGTCAACAGGTTCAAAAAAAAAATTAGACAAATTCAGAGCAGCAGGTCCATAACCTGAGTCTGAAGATGATGGGCAGGGCTGAGGCAGTGCAATGGGAATGGTCTGCAGAGAATGACCATGCTCTTCTGGTCTGCCTCAGTAGTGTCTCAGGTGCTGTCTGGCTTCCAGCTTGTGATCTGTAAGAGTGTGGGTCTGCTGTATGCCCTGTGTTTCATCTGCCAGCCCTCTATGGATATCCTGGTATCTCAGGGGTCTCAAATGATGCTAGATGCCTCCTTCTGGAAAGCTGATTTAAACCCTCAGTGTCTGCAATGCAGATGCCTACACTGGAGCTAGTCACTTAAATTGGAGCTCGACTCATGATTAAGATGCCTGCATTTGGCTGTTTGCATGTAGTTGTCTACCTGTGCAGTAGGTGTCTAGTCAGTCTAATGGAGACCTGATGAATACAGTCAATGGAACAGCCAGTACTGCCATTTCATCTTGCCATAAGGTAGACTTGGGATGGTCAGTTAAATAACTCACTACTGGCTGTTTTCATTAAATCTGTGTTGGCTATAATGGGAGCTTGGACACCTAGCACACATGTAAGATACCAAAATTCAGATATATTAACCTTGAACTGAGTTCTGTCCCAAGATTTCTATTATAATGCCTGTAGAGAAATAGGTGTCTCCTGAGAATAACTCATTGGCCTGTTTTAGACACCTAGGTGTAGATGAGATAAACTGCACTTGGGAAGTGCCTATTTCTATTCGTTGACTTTAGGGGAGTCTAGATAGTGGTACCCACGTGGTCAATGCACACCATGGCCAGGTGAGTCCCAGCCATCCCATTTTGGAGACTTTGGTACTGTCACTTAGAATCTTAGCTGTAAGAAATGTATATTTTTAAAGCAGTGTGATGTGAAAAAGTGAAATTATAATTTCAAAACAGAGCCTTCCGCACTTACAGTTAGATTTAGTATAAAGGTTTAGCCATGATTTTACTGTCTGTAAACTATGCTGTGAAACATGCTACATCCTCTGTCCTGGATTAGTTTAATAACCTGACAAAATTGCCTTTTACCAGACTAGCTGTAAAAGCTGTAAAACTATAAAACAAGCTGGTAACTTGGTTATTCTTCAATAATGAAAGATAGAGCAGGCATTAAACCCCTAAAGTCCCATGGTGTTCCAGCAGTAAGTGGCCGTTGTAGGGTGTCTGGGAGAAAGGTTTATTCAGTATGGAAGAGTTTGGAAAGGAATTACTTTAGTCAGCGGATGTTGTTAACTCCATGCTGCCAGCAGACACAGAATTTGGATGCCATCAGTGTACTCTGGTTTTGCGACAGGACAACACCAACTCCTCTCAAAAATACTGTAGACAAGTCAACCTATTTCCAAACTTTCCACTATTGCATGTGATACAGGATAGATGTGAAATTTCATTAGCGAATTAATGTGATATAATCTTGTTTAGGAGACTGCACATTTATTTGAGGTAGGATGGATTGCCCATTCTTTCATCTTTCCCACTCCTGTGTGTACAGCTTTGTTGTTCTGTGTCTTATTTCGTTCAGATATGGGGCATGGGCGAGGAGATAGGAAGATTGTGTGACTGCAATGTTCCTGTAGCTTTGGGTCTGGCTGCGGCACCAGAGTCTCTTTGGTTCATGTGGCTTGTGTGAAAGGTCATCACCTGCCTTGCTGACTGTCGTGTCTTTTCATTCCCCTTCCCAGGTTATGGACATGCTGCCCCAGGGACAGACGCGGGGAAGGCCTTTTGCATGTTCTATGCGGTCCTGGGGATCCCACTGACACTCGTCATGTTCCAGAGCTTGGGCGAGCGCATGAACACCTTCGTCAAGTACCTCTTGAAACGCATCAAAAAGTGCTGTGGGATGAGGAGCACCGAGGTCTCCATGGAAAACATGGTCACTGTGGGTTTCTTCTCCTGCATGGGAACACTCTGCATTGGAGCAGCAGCCTTTTCCCAGTATGAGGAATGGAGCTTTTTCCATGCTTACTATTACTGCTTTATAACATTGACTACGATAGGGTTTGGAGACTATGTGGCCCTGCAGACCAAAGGGGCCCTTCAAAAGAAGCCTCTCTACGTGGCTTTTAGCTTTATGTACATTCTAGTGGGGTTGACAGTCATTGGGGCATTTCTAAATCTGGTTGTTCTCAGGTTCTTAACCATGAACAGCGAGGATGAGAGGCGGGATGCCGAGGAACGGGCATCCCTGGCAGGGAACCGCAACAGCATGATTATCCACATCCAAGAGGACTCCCAGCATGGTCGGCCACGGTACAAGGCCGAAGTAACAGACCTTCAGTCAGTTTGTTCCTGCATGTGTTACAGGTCCCACGAGTACACCAGCCGGGTGGTGTCCCACCAAAATTCGTTCAGCTCGAAGCTGAACCCCCAGTACTTTCACTCCATCTCTTACAAGATAGAGGAGATCTCGCCAAGCACATTAAAAAACAGCCTTTTCCCATCTCCTGTCAGCTCCATCTCACCTGGGTTGCACAGCTTTACAGATAACCACAGGCTGATGAAAAGGCGAAAGTCCATTTAAAGGGATTTGTCTTCTTTTGCTTTCCTTGTTTTCCCCAGTTCTTCTCCGTTGTTTCGGTTTTTTTGTTCCTTGAGTGAGACGGAGCGAGGCCAAAGGGAGCAGAGAAAGCCAGTCCTCCTCTGAGACTCCGCTCTTGAGCATGAAGCATGGATTATTACTGTTCCAGCAAAGTATGCCTTACATTACCCCCTCGGTGGATGGCAGAGGATTCAAGGTGACGTGAAGTGGGTACCAAATCCAAAGTTGCACACACAGCTGGGAGCCTTCATGTGCCGCTGGCACTCCTGACCTAATAAACTATTTTCCTCATGAGCAGGTTGCAGCGTGCGTGCGTGCTTGCGTGCGTGTCGGGTGTGTGTGCGTGTGTGTGTGCGCGCGTGCAATTCCACAACTAGTGCCATGTGACAAAAATTAAAGCATCAGGTATTATTTTTTTTTTCCCTTGAAGCAATTGTGTTCCAGCCTGCTTTTAACTTTTAGATTGCTTCCAAAAAGAACGGGGAGGGTGGGAGGGGAGCCAATTTGTTTTGT